CTCCCTCCGTGAGACAAGATTGTTGAAGAGGGTTTATGGATTGATTAGTTAGGATTTGTGGAGGATTTAGGAGGAATTTGTGGAAGGAGTAGTGGAGAAGTTAGGATTAGTGGATTTGTTATCCTTTGATTTTTGGTTAGTGAGTTTGTTAGGATCCCTAGATTTTTGGTTAGTGGGTTTATGTAGGATATTACAGTTAAAATGCGTTCAGCATCCAGAAATTGCTTACCCCTATGCAACAGATAGTGCCTCTATTTATAGCTGGTCCAGAGGGGCAGTGGCCTAATTTTGGTGGAGGCCAAGCAGGCGGCTCTATCGACAGGTACTTTATAGGTGTCAGTCGTAGAGGGGATGAGTCATCTTTGTGTTTAATTGCATGGTGCCAATGAGGTTTGATGAGTTATAAAGGTTTTCAGGTCTAGAGTAATGATAGCTCTGATCGTGCATTCAATGTGATGGTGATCACTGTTAGCATGTTCGAGGACAAACCACCTTTGGACTCAGCTATATGGGAGGGTTGACAAATGACACCTTTCGTCTTAGTCTATGGCCGATAAGTACTGCCTTTTTATTCAGCCATCTTGGATTTGAAAGTTTTCGAACCGGCCTCATAGAGGGTAGAGGAGTAGGGTTGACTCAAGTAGTGGCTCTAAGTGAGAATGTCTTACGACACGCCCCTCCTTACGAAGGGTTGAGTGTCGATGTTTCTCAAGCCATCTTGCCTAGAATGAAGTCGATCTGATTCCTAGCTAGTACGGACATGTGTCGGCTCCTGGGGGATGATTAACACTTAGTCATTTCTTTGTAGTAATGATAAAAATAAATTTTATTTAACTTGTTTTATTTTAATCACAATTCCATTAATGTGAAACATGCCTAGGGCATCAAATATTTTGCTTAATTAAACTAGTTTTATCATAAAAACAATTTATCAATTGTGCAATACTAGTGCGCACACTTGGATACATAGCTTTGGGTTATACGTGCACTTTAAATATAATACATGAGTGCAAAGATATCTACTCTAGGCCATATATCAACAAATTGTGATATATTAAAAAGACTTAAGTTTGATGCATGGCAGTTGTTCCCTCAATAAAAATTATTTTCTCAAAGCAAGTTAGATATTCATAACAATAGTTTTAGCTAGCCAAGCTAAAACTATTCATCACAATTGTTTTCTCAACGCATCTTGTATTTATCAATATTTAGATGATGATATTTTCTCAATTTGTTTTTGTAAAAAAATTGTATGGCAAATCTAGAAAAGATTCTATAATTCACCTTCATACCCTTTAAATTTACACAATTACAGACAAATAGCCACTCATAAAATCAACAACCCAAATTTTATATTTCTCATAATATAATAATACACGACTCTCTAACAAAATACAATAAATAAAATCAACACATTTCAGTACTCAAGTAAATTTTACATCTCATACTTTAACAAAACCATAGGAAAAAGGTTTAGAAGATGAAGATAAACCAACTGATTTTAATAAATGTAAATACTTAAAGTGTACGGCTCATGTTTTCTCAAGATTTAATAAATATTGTATACACATAGATATAGAGTAATGACCAATAACTTGACCATCCTCTTGCACCATCAGATTCCAAGATTTGGAAAATGTATGTGAATAGTACACAAAAACTCTATACCAATAAATATACATCTAAAATTCACAAATTTAGCTTGTGTAGAGAACTTCCATTGAGTATCAAGCCCACTAAACCTGTTGTTATTTGGAAGGAGATAGACAAAGAGAGTAGAACTGAAAATGGGAATATTTTACTGATCGTAAAAATGCAGAATAAATACACAATGACCCATAATTGAATTCCATTTTTTGTGCTACTAACAGGGACACATTCCTAGACACTTACTTGACCTGAAAAACAACAACTAACCTCTTGAAAATAGAGATAACAACTAGTGCTCCTAAAGACTAGGACCTTCATGAAACAGAACATAAGACAGAGTAAAACAATAGCTCTTAATTCACAAACATTCTCCTCCTGAATTTTGAGCTGCACATATACCCAACTTGTCCCTAAGAGTCTCAAAACGACCGACATGGGATAACTTTGTGAATATGTCTGCAAGTTAATTTTCTGAACTGCAATACACCAGCTTCACTTCACCTGATCTCTACACCTTCCTTAAGAAGTAATACTTAACTTTGAATTGCTTTGTTCTTCCATAAAAGACTGGATTCTGTGAGATGGCCAGAGTGGCCTGATTGTCCACAAAGATCTCTATGTTATCATCTTGATGCACATGCAGATCATCCATCAGCTTCTTTAACCATATTGCTTGATTTGCAACTGCAATTGCTGCAATTGCTGCAATGAACTTAGCTTCTGCAGTTGATTGAGCCACTAGTTCTTGCTTCTTTGAACACCAAGAGAAACATCCTGACCCAAATGTGAAGCAATAACCAGAAGTGCTTCTCATGTCTTCTACTAATCCCGCCCAATCACTATCAGAATAACCCTGCAACTTACAATATTGAACTTTGCAGAACTTAATCCTATATGAGATAGTACCCTTCAAGTACCTCTGCACCTTCTTTGCAGCTACCATATGCAACTCACTTGCACAATTTAGAAATCTGGATAGGAAACTTACAGGAAACATGATATCTGATCTGGTTGCTGTGAGTTACATTAGGAAACCAATTAAGCTCCTGTAAAGACCTTCATTTGTAGGGTTAGCTCCATCATTCTTCTGCAGTTTTTCTTTCTTACCCATTGAAGTACTCACACTGTTGCACTCCTCCATACCAAACCTCATCAAGATCTCCTTCAAGTACTTCCTTTGACATATGAAGATCTCGTTTTGAGCTTGTTTGATCTCCATGCCAAGAAAATAGGACATTTTACCTAAATCAGTCATTTTGAACACCTTCATCATATTCTGCTTGAACACAGTGATCTGAGCCTCATTTCCTCCTGTTACCAGCAAGTCATCCACATAGAGATACAATAATCAAGTCAGAATCTAACTTTTTAACATACAAAGTGGACTCACTTAGGCTCTTCTTAAAGCCTAGGGTCAGCAAATGCCCATCCATGTTGCTGTACCATGCTCTGGGTGCTTGCTTCAAGCCATACAGAGCCTTCTTCAGCACATAAACCTTCTCCTCCTGACCTGGTATGATGAATCCTTCTGGTTGTTCAACATAAATCTCTTCCAACGACCCTCCATTTAGGAATGTTAATTTGACATCTAACTGATACACTTTCCAACCATTTTGAGCAACTAAGGCAGGAACTGGTCTGATAGTATCTAACCTTGCTACAGGTACAAATGTTTCAGAGAAGTCTACTCCCCAAACCTCTGCATAACCTTTTACAACTAACCTAGCCTTATGTTTATTTATTGAGTCATCAGGGTTGAGTTTAGTCCTGAAGACCCACTTTAGTCCAATGATCTTCCTATCTTTAGGCTTCTCCACCAACTCCCAGGTCTGATTTTTTTCGATCATAGCCAGCTCCTCTTTCATTGTACTCATCCATCTCTGATCATCTTTGGCTACTTCAAAGCCTGTTGGCTCCAGAACAGCCACATTGCACCTCTGGTATATATCAACCAAAGATCTGGTGCCTCTGACTAGAATTTCATCCACTAGCTCTTCTAATTCCAAGGACACCTTCTCTGGTTTATTCTGAGTGTCATTAACCTAATTCCACTCTTAAGCTTCCAAGAACTGGACATCCCGACTAGTGATTACCTTTCCATACTTTGGCTGATATATTTTGTAGGCCTTTGACACAAGGTTGAACCAACAAATACTCCTGATTCAGACTTCTTTTCCAGTTTGTCTCTCTTGACCCGTGGAATATAAGAGTAGCATAGATAGCCAAACACCTTCAAGTTTTTTAGAGTTGGCTTGACACCAAACCATGCTTTAAAGGGTGTCTTCTTCTCCAATCCCTTGTTGTTAGTCTGTTCAGCAGAAAACTATTGTGTTTGCTGCTTCTACCCAAAGTTCATTTGGTAGATTCTTCTCATGCAACAGACACCTGGTCATCTCCATAATGCTTCTATTTTCCTCTCACTAACTCCATTTTGCTGTGGAGAGTATGGGATAGTGAGCTAATGCTGGATTCCAGCTTCCTCACAAAAAGAGTTAAACCTCTGTGAAGTGTATTGTGCGCCATTATCAAATCTAATGACCTGAATCCTACAGCCACTTTGATTCTCAATCCATCTTTTAAACTTCAGAAACACTTTAGCAACTTATAACTTTTGCTTCATGAAGTAAATCCAGCACATTCTTGTATAGTCATCAATGAAGATAATGAAATACATGCTGCCACTTAGTGAAGGAGTTGCTTGTGGACCACAAAGATCTATATGGATCAGCTGCAACCTCTCTATATCTCTCCAAGTTGACTCCTTGAAGGGAAGTTTGGCTTGTTTACCTATCAAACAAGCATTTGCAGCTTGAGGGTTGCTCCTCCAGGTTTGGTAACCCTTTTGCCATCTCATTTTTTTGCATGAACTGCAAGCCTTTGTGGTGAAAATGCCCTAATCTATTGTGCCATATCTCTGAATCATTGGTCTAACATTTGAATGCCACTTGCTCCTTTTTTAGAGTATTCAGAGAAAAACTTTTTTGCTGCATCTTTATCTTGAACAACTCCTGGCCTCTAGAATCAAAGACCAACCATTTTCCTTCTTCAAATGTTACCTTAAATCCATTTCCTACCAACTGCCCCACACTTAGCAGGTTCTGATCAATCTCAGGAATATACATTACATCAAAAATCAACTTAATCCCTGGACAACTCTTCATAGCCATAGTCCCTCGACCCTCTACTGCTAAGTATTCTCCATTTCTAATTCTCACCCTTGATTTTATTGACTTATCAAGGTTTCTAAATAGTTTCTTATCACTTGTCATATGGTTTGTACAACCACTATCAATAAGCCAACTGTCACATGGAGTGCTAGAAATGAAACAAGAGGCAACAAACAGCTGATCTACCTCTTGCTGGGCTGCAACATGTGCTTCACCTTACTGCTGATCTCCCTTCTCCTTACAAAACTTCTCAATGTGTCCCATTTTTTGACATCTCCTGCACCTTACATCTGGCCTTCTCCAACATCCAAAATGGGGATGATTCTTTTTACCACAGTGCTTGTATGGAGAATATCTTCCTCCTTTGTTGCCTGCACTGCCTTCTCCAGTAGCAACCTCTGAGTTACTGTCACTTCCCTTCTTCCCTTTCCACTTCTTCTCTTTTCCTTCAAGTTGTGTTGCATTTTGGCCCTTAGAGCCTCTTCAACACTTCCTTTCAGCCTTATCGACCTCCTTTGTTCAGGTGCTTGCAGAGCACTGACCAATTCTGCCAGCTTGATCTGAGACAAGTCCCTGGTATTCTCCAATGAAGCAATGGTTGCCTCATACCTCTCAGGCAAAGAAACAAGGATCTTTTGCACCAGCCTATTGTCAGAGAGGTCAGTGCCAAGCATTCTTGCCTAGTTTGCAATGTCAATCAACTTGGTCGAATACTCTTTGATTGTCTCAGACTCTTTCATCTGCAATCTCTCAAACTCCCTGACCAAATTCAACACCTTCAAACTCTTGATCTTTTCATCTCCTTGGTACTCTGCTTTAAGTAAGTCCTAGATTAAAAAAAAAGCCATAATTCTACTGAAAATGGCTGGTGGAACAGTAACATACAGATAGGCTTTGGCCTTAGCTTTTCTAGTTTTCCTCTTCTTGTGATTTTTGATTTGATTTAGGGTTGGATTGTCAGGAAGTGCAGCCACCTCATAGTTGTTTTCTACTGCTTCCCAGTAATCACAACCCTCCATGTAGGCTTGCATTTTTACTGCCCAAACTTGATAGTTCTCCTCATCGAACATTGGTGGAGCCAAGGTAGGAAGACTGCTCAAACTTGCTTCCTTGTTCACTCATCTTCTTTGAATGCAGACATGTGACGCCGCTGGTTCCACACAAGGTTGTAGTCCAAGATGAACCTAGAGATGTCAAACATGTCATGCACCTACACATGTGCATAAGCACATTTCACCAATCATAGGAGTATCCTCTAGTGGAATCAAAGAAAAATGCAGATACAAAACATGCAAAATAAAGTGCTGAACATGATAAAGAAGGAGATATCTCATAAATAAAAATCATGTCTCAACACAAATATATCTACTGTCTGAGATAAATAAATGTCTCATCATGAATCAAATAAATATCGTACTAAGGCACACTGTCTTTACAATATGGAGATGAAATACTAATATCTAAATAAAAATGTAAAATCTATTATGGAGCCTCTACTAATACTCATGTGACGGCGACTATGCAAGAACTTTGTCATCCTGTGATTCTTCGTACATCTGTACCGCCTGAAAGAAAAGAAGAATAACAAAAAGAACCACATAAAGAGCGTCAGAGCGCTACAGCAAGATCACCTCCATCCGTCCCCAGGGGAAGGGCTACTAGATGGAGTGGAAGCTCTATCTATAAGCATAGTCTACCTAGATCATTTTTCCTATATCTAAGTGGAATTAACATTTAGAAACCTACAACACGAGACGTAGTACGTCGAGCGAAATAATCCAAACACCTACAACACGAGACGTAGTACGTCGAGCGAAATAATCCAAACAAGGAAACCCTCATGTATATACCATTGTCTCAAATTGTAGTACGTCGAGCGAAATAATCCAAACAAGGAAACCCTCATGTATATACCATTGTCTCAAATTGTAGATAACTAAATATTAATACAAACTAAGAATAGACAATCTAATAAAATCAACAATTAGAAATCCACAACACGAGACTGGTATGTCGAGCGAAATAATCTAAACAAGGAAACCCTTATGTATATACCATATATCTCAAATTGTGAATCACTAATCATTGATCCCAACTAACAAGTAAAGAAAACAGTAAATAAATATAAAGACATCATTACATTGTATTTATAATATCTTTCATAATCACTGGGGAGTTAAAATAAGTACTAACATATAATCCCGTATACTTTTAAGAGCAAAGTATCTCGGTCATATATCTCAAAGATGAGTTGAACTCATAACTGACATCCGCTTAAAACATAGGCTATAAATCAACAATTCAATGTCACAGACTACCCTGTAGGTATCCAGAACTGTGTACATGGCTCATTAGTCTCATCGCGATCTCAGCACGTAGCCTGAGTATATGACGGCCTACCATATAGGTATTCAAATAGATGGCTCATAATCACCATAAATAGATGGCTTACCATCCTCATCGCACACTCATGCGGACGGACTGCTATACAAAGCATCCAAACCCGACTTAATGGCCTGTATATATGGAATATCGACGCACTAGCTCATGTAGCACTGAACTGGGCTCATCAACGATATTCATCTTATGCATAAACTTTGTATAACTAGTATATCGATGCACTATCCCATATAGTATTGAGCTGTGCTCATTAACGATATCCAACGAGTGTATGAACAATCACTACTCTATTATAAACAACCAAACTCTTATCACAATCACCAAGTGCGGCTCAAACCCCACAAACACATCTCAATAAAAACAAAACAAAACTCAAGAAATCAGCCTTAGTAGTCGACTACTGGACTGAGTAGTCGACTACTGGACTGAGTAGTCGACTACTGGACTGAGTAGTCGACTACTGGACTGAGTAGTCAACTACTCTGAGTTCATCCCGAACTTGGAAATTTTGACTAAGTGTGAGTAGTCGACTATTATGAGCATTAGTCGACTACTCTGCTATAAAACATATTTTGTGAGTTGCATCAGGAATAGAGTAGTCAACTACACACATGACTAGTCAACTACTTATCATAGTAGTCGACTACTCTGCATGCAACTGAAATACAGACATGCACAAACAGGACTTTAACAAATCAAACATGTACTTATGCAATGTTAAACTAGATTTAAACAATTTATAACATTAAACATGGATTAACTTGATCATAAACATGGACTTAACTTGGTTCAATTTAAAGTTAACACCTTTATTAATTAATCTCTTCAATTAACTACATATAGGCAACATGATGATTAAAAGCATGAAAAGATCTACACATGAAGAGAGAATAATTCGTTTTAAACTTAATTACAGAACCTAGATACCACGAACCTAGGTTTTTACATGATTAGATTACAAGAAAACTCCATTAATTAAATAAACTAGGGTTTGTACATAGGTAAATCTCAATTAAAAAATTAAAAATGAAATTAACATTAATCTTAATGATCATGATCATATTTCTAACATAAACAGCAAGGAAAAAATCAGATCTAACAAGAATTATAGATCTATTATTGAATTTAACTTTTATCTCATGAAAATAAGAAATAAGCATGTGAACATTGATTAAATCACTTTAAATCATCTAATAATTAAGGGTGCATGAGAGGATGAAGATGATCTTGCCTTAGGGTGATGGTGGAATCCTCAACCACGTGTATGCAAGATCCTCTTCAGCCACAATTACACTTTTTAGCTTTCTCCTCAACAAACACTTCAAAACTCTCCCACAACTCACAAAATAGGGTTTAAGGTTTGAGGAGGGAGATGACTGCTAAACTCACGAATTTTTATCTCTAAAATTAGGGTTTTAATGAATATTTATAGATATATAATGATGACTGCTAAACTCACGAATTTTTATCTCTAAAATTAGGGTTTTAATGAATATTTATAGATATATAATAACTTGGGTTCAGATATAAACCAAAGCCAATCCGTAATTTGAAATAAATCTCGAAACAACCCTGTTAGTCGACTACTCTGGGTAGTAGTCGACTACTCACATCACAGAAATAGGTTGTGCATGTTTTGGCTATAACTTTCACATTCCACTGTGAAAATATTGGCCCCAACAGTTGCAATAGTTGGGGCTACTAAAATTTGCCCCAATGGTTTCCACAACTCGTTGGGGCTGGTCACCTTTGTACTAGTAATAGTTATTATAAACACCCCTAAATGCATGGGAATTGCCAAACTCTACAGCCACACATCTTATTTTGATGTTCAAAGTAACTTTTTCGCCTAGTTATTTGGAGATGTTTATGATAAGCACAAAGGTATAAAAGTCCAAATAAGCTCACATGCACATTACTGCACTTTAACACATGAGAAGAAATTAGTCCACAAAACATTACACTATCAAATGGGTAAAAATAAACTTTAGAGTATGATGAGACTTTGAGGTATCAAATAGACAAACAGACTTTAATTAGGATAACAAAGCTCAAAACGGGTGACTTGGTGGCTGAACAAAGTGCACATTGATGAGTATTATATAATATACATTTAGCTTGACCTTCATATGTGTACTTGACTGGCTATAGTATGAGGATCTATACGTTATAGCGTATTCTAGTAGTAATGTTGTAGCTATTACTGTACCGTTCCGCTTTATATATATAAGGGTTAAGGGAATCTCAATTGAATGATCTAAACGGGCACTAGGCTCGCCCCTAGAAAGGACGCGGCCAACTCACATCATTTCCTTTTTTTTTGCGATCGTCGTTGATTGATGTTACACGTTCTTAAACCCAAACCACTAATTTTGGGGTGAGACCATCGTGTTTTGGACCTTTTTCGGTATGCCACTGTTGCCAATTTAACGGTTTCGAGATGCATAGTTTTTGCACGGCGCTCAAGAGCATGGTCAAAAACACAGCGGCGGTTCACCCAAAGATGGCTGTGTTTGGTTTGCCCAGAATGTGTAGTCACGTTCACACGGATCGGATCGTAAAAAAGAATTTAGAAATAATGATGGTGATTCCGTAGCGCGGTCTGTTAGGGTGGATAGCCTAGGGTCACCTCTAGATTCACTTGTTCGTCTGCGCTTCAGTTATACGTACGTGGACGTAATTCTATAGTATATAGTATAGGATAATATAGTGTATAGTATGTATATTATCTGGTATAGCTTATAGGTTAGATTCACGTGGTAGTATGTTAGGTTGATTCAATATGGGGAGGTTCTAATAAAAACCTAGAGAACTAAAAACCAATCCTAACCCTACATTCTATTTCATCCAATGGCCTAGATTTCGATGGCAGAATTGTAAATATAGACAAATTTAATACACTGCATTAATGTGAAAAGGGTAAAATTGGAACAATTCATTGCATTAATGGTGACTGATTACATTGGAACAATGATACAAATTTAATACACGTCCTTTAATACTCTCTCTTACATTAATAGTGCTACATTCTTTAATACTCTCTCTCTCTAACTCACTTCCCGATCTCTGTAAATCTCACATGAAGAACACAACAACGCAATGAATCTGGATTCACTGAAGTGATCTTCAATCCAGATTCACTCCAACGAATTGAATCTGGATTCACTCCAATCGATTTGCTGCTCCACTGGATTTGTGAATCATTCTAACCATCCAAAGCAGAATAAGAAACTTATGGTAAAAACAAGCTATAAAATTTTATAACATGAAAAAT